AGTAATACATTTCTACTTTTTAGTGTAGGACTTATGATTTTGCAACAGCATTAAAATGTCAAAAATTTCTTTTGCAATAAAGTAATAAAAATAGACTAATTTTTCCTTAGCACTTCTTTTGGGTTGCAAAATATGACAAACTTAGAGTTATAACAACAAAATAGAATGTTTGATTTGCAACACAACCAAATTATACCGATTTGATGTTGATGATTCATTAAATCTTTATTATTAAAAACTAAAAAACAATATTTTTGTTCCTTTTTTGTTAAAAATATTTGTGTTAAAATGTGTCTGTCTTATAAAAGAAAATAATTCTTGTTTTGTTTTATGAAAACATTTTTTGGAGTTTTTTATGTTTTAAAATTTGGGTTATTAAATATGAAATTGATTGCCAACCTATTACGCGTTGCTACACAAATTACGTCCAAAGTGTTGCAAAATTACAGTAATGATGTGTATATATTACTTTTAAAATGCGCGTTTATTCAAGAAAAGTTAGACAAAATTTTCATTTTGTTTCATGTTGTTATTTAGTGTTGGATTGGATTGTTGTATATACAGGTGTCTCCCCGTTGCATCAACATTAGTAAAAAAACTTCCAGTCAACATTCTCAATCGTTTTTGAGATATGGGATAACTTAATTAACTCACATTACTGTCTTACTTCTACAATAATTAGCAGAAAGTGTTAGGTTTTTATGATTTTATTGCGATCATCAATTGATTAAAGTTGCTCAAGATGGCGACCCTGGACTGCCCTGGATACACAATTCTACTCTTCGACTCAGTTCTCCTATCCAGTTGACATTTTCCATGTTTCCACGAACTTACTGAAATGCTCGATGGATTCTACCTACCAGTTCTTCTTTGGTAGCCGGCTTGTCAAGCAACAGCTCCATTCCGCAGTCCGCATTCAAAGATTTTCGATGATTCCTCCCCACATATTAACCGAAAATCGGTGCTGGAATCTATTTTCTGACAAAGCATGGGGATTTTCTTCGCTCCAGATGAATGATGCGAGTTGTTAATCTCATCACGAGTGAAAATAGACTCATCCGCGAACCATCCTGGTTCTTTAGGATCCACGAGCAAAATTCTTCTCGTTTCGCATAGTCTGCTGGTAAAAGATTTTGTACTTGTTGTACGTGGTAAGGATGTAGCCTATTTTCACGCAAAGTCCTGTGAATCGATGCTCTTTTCTGTGTCTCTTGGTGGCCACCATTCTTCTTATGCTGGTTCTCAGATTCTCGGAAACTTCATGAAGAACAGCTTCAGTGTGGTTTCTTCACGCAGGCTCTCTCTCCTTAATCTGATACAGTTCATGGTGGTTGTGCGACAAGGATGTCTTCTGTTCGGGTAGCCATACAAAAATATTATGTTGGCGTACTCTTCATTCATAAAAAGAGGCATTTTTAAAGGTTCTACGAGCAGAATCCAATGACAAAAATACTAAGAAACTGCTTTATTGACAACTGTCAAAAAGCTAACTTCATGCGCATTCCATCTAAAAAAGGAAAATTAAATTAGTTACAATAATCCCATATCTCGAAAATGGTGGAGAATTGCACCTATGTTGACTGGAAGTTTTTTTGCTAATTTTGATGCAAGGAATAACTCTAATTTCGGGGAGTTGAGAGAACAAAAGTTGTAGCAAATTGTACCCTTAACACAATGCCCTGTAACATTTTTGCTCCCAGATGCATCAACGTACAGAATTTTTCAAAAATATGAAAATTAGAAGAGTTAAAAAAAATCGGTATCTGGAGCATGATGCAGAAAAACTTTTACAACAAAAGTTGTAGCAAATTGTACCCTTAACACAATGTCCTGTAACATTTTTGCTCCCAGATGCACCAATGTAGAGAATTTTTCAAAATTATGAAAATTAGAAGAGACAGGTGTTATTTTTTCAAGAAAGTGAGATATTCACTCTATTAACATTAGAAATAGAAACTTGATAGCTCCTCCAGCCCATAGGACAGCTTTGTTTGAGAGATCTTTTAGCTCTAACATTTACGTTAAATATAATAACCTGCCGGTAGAAATTAAAACTAAGGGTGTAGTGGCGTTTAGGCGTGCTGTTTTCCTATTGCTCATTGAAGAGCAAGTGGAAAACAGCACGCCTTATATTAAGCTACTTTATGGCGTGGACTAAGGTCTAGTGTTAGTTCTAGTGACAGTTCTTAGGTAGCGCTAGTTAGAACTAGATATCATTATATTGCACATTTTTATTGAACTAAAAGTAAAACTAACACTAGACCTAGAACTAGAATCATTCAGGTTTAGTCGCACGTCTCTTAAGACGGCTAAACCCGAATGTTTCTAGTTTTAGGTCTAGTGTTAGGTCTGGTGACAGTGCTAGGTAGCGCTCGTTAGAACTAGATACTAGATATCATTATGTTACATATTTTTATTGAACTAAAACTAGAACTAACACTAGAGCTAAAACTAGAATCATTCGGGTTTAGTCGCACGTCTCTTAAGACGCCTAAACCCGAATGTTTCTAGTTCTAGGTCTAGTGTTAGTTTTAGTGGCAGTTCTAGGTAGCGCTAGTTAGACCTAGATATCATTATGTAGCATATTTTTATTGAACTAGAAACTTTCAGGTTAAGTCTTTCGAAAGTCAAGACTTCGAAAGACTTAACCCGAAAGTTTCTAGTGTCTAATGTTAGTTCTAGTGATAGTGTTACTATTAGTTCTAGTTTTAATTACAATTGTATTATTAACTATCAGTTTTATTGATATATTGGGTTTAAATTAACTTTTTTTGAGTTAATTTAGTCCTTCGTGGAGATTTGAGATATTTAAACAAATTTTTATTGTGTATAAATTATCCTAGAATATATCTTCTAGACTGAAAATTAATGATGTTACTTAATCAGCATAACTTGCCATAAGATCCATGAAGATTTCTCTTGCTGAATTGTTTAATAAGAATTTGAATACTAAATTACCAGCAACAAATTAATGGATTACTGTCAAAAATGATAGAGTGGAATAATTATTTGGAAAAAGACCAGAAAAATACAAAGACTATTATTATCAAAGACCGAGAGTACCAAAAGAATTAAAAAAAAGGAGAGAATATTGTAATAGGAGGTATTAATGAGACAGTATGGAGTTCTAGAGTAGCTCTAAGGAGTTGCAAGGTTACATCGCATCCTAACAAAGAGATTAGCATTCTGTACAGAGAGTTTAAACGAAAATGCAAAATGCAGACTACTTCAGATTAGACTAATTTTTTTATGTTTGTCCCAGAATTAGCATTGTTGTTTGATATCTTCGCTCCTTATTCTGTCGTGTAGAATTTTGCCTTGTATCCTACTTACTGTTTTCATCATGTGTAGAGTCTTGCTTATATCTGATCTTGTCTCTGCCGCATATACTAATATATAGCCGTTTCATATATATCTTGATTTTGCTTTCGGTATGAAGACCGAAATTTATTTCGCATTTATAGCACCACTTCTTCTTCGAGCATCATCACACGTTCAATTAAGGAACCCACCTTTCTTTTCTCCTTGACTCTCGCTCGAAGTTCATTCTCACTTTTAAGTTGATATAGTGATGATCATTTTTTTGCTATGCTCCTTCCTTCTTTACCTTCTGTTTGACCTTCATTAAACCGATATTCTTTGAACCGATATTCTATTTTTTTTTTCCTTTTCTAGCTTTATTCTAGTATTCTTGGTCTATCTACAGACATTCGGGTTTTGCCGCACGTCATTCAAGACGGCTAAACTTGAATGATTCTAGTTCAATATTGGTTCTAGTGACAGTGCTAGGTAACGCTAGTTGGAAAGTTGGAACTAGATAGATGTCATTATGTTACATATTTTTATTGAACTAAAACTAGAACTAACACTAGACCTAGAATTAGAATCATTCGGGTTTAGCCGCACGTCTCTTAAGACGGCTAAACCCGAATGTTTCTAGTTCTAGATCTAGTGTTAGTTCTGGTGACAGTGCTAGGTAGTGCTAGTTACAACTAGATATCATTATGTTGTATGTTTTTATTGAACTAAAACTAGAACTAACACTAGACCTAAAACTAGAATCATTCGGGTTTAGCCGCACGTCTCTTAAGACGGCTAAACCCGAATGATTCTAGTTCTAGGTCTAGTGTTAAGTTCTAGTAACAGCGCTAGTTAGAACTAGATATCATTATGTTGTATGTTTTTATTGAACTAAAACTAGAACTAACACTAGACCTAGAACTAGAAAGTTTCGGGTTTAGCCGTGCGTCTTCAGATGTTTCTAATTCTAGATCTAGTGTTAGTTTTAAAGTGCTAATTAGAACTACATATCACTATGTTATATATTTTTATTGAACTAAAACTATATTATCTTTAAAATCAACACTTTGAATTAAAACTAATACTCCTTTAACGAAGAGCTTTCTCTCCGATCCCGTCCAATTATTCTATATATAAAGTTAAACTTATTGAAAGGGTTAAAAAAGATAAGAAATGAAACGATTAGAAGAGAGTCGATGACGCGTTCTAAAGCGCCGTACAAATGATGAACGGTTCCATTGTTTCCATTTTATTGACACGCAGGAGCATTGTGTACGTTCGTTACGCGACGGCCGCAAATTCAATCGTATAATTTCACTTCTCGTAACGGAAACAAAATAACAAAAACGAACAAAAAAAAATAATACGAAATAAAGTCTCCTTTTTTTTAAAACTTTAGCTTCTCGAAGATTTGTAACACATTTTTTTGGTAAAACACACACCGATTTTGTTTTAATTTCACTAAAAAGCCACAGTTGAAGTCTTAATGAGATAAATTTTTGAATTTTTGTTGAAAATGCGAGTTTTTGATACGTTTCGTTTGAGTTCTCACAAGTAAATAAGCACGGTGTGTAGCGAGAGAGGTGCAAGCACAATGGGTTTACGTATATCTTTCGCGATAAAACCCAACGCGCTCTCCTGGCTTGCTGATAGCCGCGTTGTTATCGGGGTTTATAGTGTTTTCGGTGCGATATCCGCAGTCTAGAGTCGATCGTCGACGACGGTTTTCAAAACGCAACGTCGCTTCAACGGTTTTCCATCAAAATATGAAAATATCCTGTGCTAAAAGAATAGTGATTAATATTTTTCAGTTATATTTTCATGTGAGTTTCTAATTTTTAAATAAAAATTAATGGTGTTTAATTTTGCGGTGGGTTTGAGAACTAACTCGTTAACAAAATAAAAATCATTCTCAATTTGTTTTAAAATAAACTCAGTTTTTTAGTACTAAATTTATATTGTTTGGTTTTGTCTCAAGTTTTATTAAATTGTTATAGCAAAGAACGTTTTCTACTTTATCGACATTATTTGATGTGCCATCACTATAAACGAAAAATAATTTTGTAATAAAGAGTTTTTATTTCTTCTGATTATGTTAATAGTTATCTTTTATTTAGAAAATTGTTTAATATTAATAATTTAGTATCTTCATTTCCCTGTGAATAGTACGGCATATAATATATTTTGATTAATAATACTAGAAATTATCAAAGTTTGAATTTCTTCTAAAATGTTATGGTCAATATTGAGGATTTCTAATTAATTAACTTCCTCAATCAGAAGTAATAAAACTACAAAGTTTAGTAATCTAAGATGTTACATACTAAATAATAGTTGCGTCATCTTCAGAGTTTATCTCCAAGTAAAGCCAGAAATAAATAAATCTACATATTTACTAAAGACTAAGAAATATTGAAAGAAAATTATTATAAATTTTCATATCAATTTTTCCAAATATAGATTTTATACCAACTTTTAAAATAAACCGATAATTTTTATCGATTAATAAACGAATTTATTTTTATTGAAGAATTTATAAATTTTCTACGAAATTTATTGTGAACATAGTTTTATGGTTAATCGAAGTGTCGTCTTTGAATGACTGTGATTTCCATACGGGTTACTAAAAAGTCTAAGAGATTTTGAATTCTTCATGGAATAAATATAAATAAATATATAATAATAGATATTTTTGTTACAAATTACTAAAATTTAAAATTAGAAGGGTCCTTAGGAAGCTACTTAGGTCTCCTTCTTTCATTTTTGTTGAATATATTTAAATTAAAGTAATACAAATTTTATTTTAATTTCCCTGTGAATAGTACAGTAATTAAAACTATTACAAATATTATAAAATTTTGATTATATAGGTAGTTTCAAATGTCATTGCCAAATTTCGACGGTCACTATTAGTGAATTTTAAGGGTAGTTTCTAGTAACTATGGGTGATTCTAGGAATCCTGAAAATTACGCCCTTTCAAAAATTACGACAAACTTTGGGTTTATTTTGCTTTTTGAAAAATCATAAACAGCTGGAAAATGAAATTCAGCGTAAAATCATTCGGGCAAAACGCCCAGAAGAAGAAAATCTGACTTTTAGTAACGTTTATTTTGATTAAATGTAGACCGGTGTTAGTGAAAATTGGACTACCAGAATAAAAGTATGCAAAAGATATGAAGAAATCATTAGTGGACTTGCCTGGTTCAAAATTCAGCTATTTATTATTACTGAATTTTGAGAAAGTGTGTTGTTCTGAAAAAATTTTGTGGTTGTCTGGTAGCTAAAACCAATAAGTGTTCAAATTTACTATGTTTTAGTTTCTTTTTAAAACAAACTATAGGTTTATTTTACAAAATTTAGCTATTTATTATCACTGAATTTTGACACAGTGTGTTGTTCTGCAAAACTTTTGTTATTGTTTGCTGGAACCATAAGTCTCATTCTGATACATAACTTTTAGCTAAAACCATGAAGTGTTCAAATTTCTTATGTTTTATTTTCTTCTTTTGTTGATACATTAGATGCATGAATTACACAATTTCCAAAATCTTTTTATTTGTATTTTCAACGTTAGAGGAGGTGTTTGGATTTTTAGTACCATATCATTCGATATTTAGATATAGCAAACTTACTGCTTTTCTTGGATATACTCTGTATAAAAAATTGTTGCAGGTGATCTTAGAAGTTTTTAAAAAATGTCCTGAGGTTGCTGATATAATAGCAAAACTTTTGTTTGTCTTGAATTTTAACATAATCTTTCGGCAAATATATCCAATCTTTATGGTACAAAACAATGGTCTGACTCAAGACATCTCTGGCATATTGATTAGAATTTTTCAGTGACAATAACTGTTTCATGATGCACACTTGTTAGAATAAACATATAAGGTAGTAACTTCTGGTCTCAAATAAGCTATACAAAACACTTCTTTTGTATAGCCAAAGCAATGAGGCAACAATGAGACAGTTAACTAATCAAGTCCAGGATTTACTCGGTTATTGCCCTATTGTTTTTATTTAGACATGCTTCATACAGAAATTGTTGCAGAATTTGATACTGACCAATAAAATTATTGACTTTGAATATTTTGAGTGATTACTCAAGTTAAGTTACTAAAAATGCAGCAGTATTTTTGACTTTTTGAAGGGCTACGCAAAAATGTATTTAATGTGTCCAAAACTTAACCCCAACTTTTTCGTGGATATTCATAAACGATTGTTGAGGAAGAATCATTTTCAAAGAATAAGATGGAAGTTAAAAATGTTGATAATGATCGAGAAGTTTTAGATTATTTTAATAACTACGCAGAATCCACACAGATATACACAAAGTTATTGTTTTAAAGAATAAATAATTTTTATTTTAATTTCTTTTGACTAATTTAGTCTTTGATGATGGCATTAGCCGAAACTAGTTAGACAGCAAAAACTTAATCACAAAGACTAAAACTTTCTAAATCGATGGATTGATCAAGCAAATAATCTTGTATGATCACCCGATTTTAACCAAATCTATACCAATTTTGGTTTCATGTAATAAAATTTGAGCAACTCGAAAAATTTTAAGAGGAATTTGTGAAAATATACGTCGAGGACTAAAAGTATGCATAGAAAGTGACGGTGATCACTTCGAACCTTTTTTCCTTTTTTTCTTTAACGATTATTTTTAAAACAGATATTCCTATTTTATTTTATTTATGCAAATTTGTAGCAGAAACTTTTGTAAATTTTTTGGAACGTCCATAATCTGTTTTTGTTGTACTCAAAAGACTCACACTCTTAGTAATAAAATCAAAAAAACAATTATTTTTAGCCGTGCGTCGTTTAAGACGGCTAAAAACCCCAATATTTTTCATTCTGGATCCAGTGTTAGTTTTAGTTTTAGTTCAATAAAAATATGCAACTTAATGATATCTAGTACAAACTAGCGCTACATAGCACTGTCACTACAACTAACACTAGACCTAGAACTAGAATCATTCGAGTTTAGCCGTCTTAAGAGACGTGCGGCTAAACCCGAATGATTCTAGTTCTAGGTCTAGTGTTAATTCTATTTTTAGTTCAATAAAAATATGCAACATAGTGATATCTAGTTCTAACTAGTGCTGTCACTAGAACTAACACTAGACCTAGAACTAGAAATATTCGGGTTTAGCCGTCTTAAGAGACGTGCAGCTAAACCCGAATGATTCTAGTTCTAGGTTTAGTGTTAGTTCTAGTTTTAGTTCAATAAAGATATACAACAATTAAAACTAGAACTAACACTAGACCTAGAACTAAAAAATTTCAGGTTTAGCCATGCGTCTTCAGTCTAAGCCCGACTGTTTTTAGTTCTAGGTCGAGTGTTAATTCTAGTTTTAGTTGAATGAGAAATATACAGCAATTTAACACTGAATAACAAAATAATACAAATTTTTAAAGAAACGTGTAAAGCTTTTCAAAAGAAAGCTTTCAAGAAATGTAACAACTTTAATTATTGAAAATAAAATGTTAGATTAATATATAGATTAATGAAATTTTTGATTTTAAGCTCCCAAAAATAAATAAATCACAATATACGAACTTTTTGATATAACAATTCAATTTAAATGATTACTAAATTTAATTGAATAAAATCTTCTGAATTACATTTAACTTTCTTTTTATAGTTTGTTAAAACTTTTTACCTCCGCGTAACCCAATATAGTTTCACAAACGTTCGCTGCATTTACCACATTCTCCAACAAAACGTCATTTCAAACACTTATTATATTGAAGGTCCTCATAATTGCTTTATGCTATTTACTCTTTTTTCTTAACCCCAATTTTGGAAGGGAAATTTTTTGTTTTTCGGACGGCTAAAATTCTATTTTCGTTTTATTGACACTCGACTAACCCCAAGTTTTTGGATCGTTTTCGTAATCCCTCGACCAATATTTGCATCTAGTTTAAAGGGCGGTTCGAAAAACAAAGCTTTCCTCTCTCCGTCTTTTTCTTCGTCGTGTTCCAACAACCCCAAGTCTCAGGTATGAATGTTGTTTAACGGTTTTCAGGTATACTTGCAAATCCTAAATACATAAAATTAGCTCGGATGTGGTACACACGTGCTGAAAATCGAGGTAAATAGATCTTTTTTTTTATTTTTCGTTGAGACGACCAAACAGAACCAAAAATTTAATGAAAAATTTTTTAAATTCATGTCGCGTAGGTACGTAGTAATTTATTCCTGTAAATACCATCGGTTGACAATGCACTTACAACTAAACCCATCAAGTTAATTGGCTTGTTTTTTATGTTTTTGTGAACACAGTCGTGAACTAAAAATCAACCATCGTTGTTTGTGTTTTTATCAAAACAGGACGTAGGCCTTTTTAGCTTATCGCGCGCTACCAAATGAAAATTCCTTCTTTTTTTTTCAAGACCGGAAGCGTCGTCGATACACCACAATTATACATTTTTTTTTCGCGTAACCTGTTCGTGGGTTTAAAACGTACAGAACGGTTAACGCGAGCTCCGGTTACAAATACGACGCGCGCGGGGGCCCTTCAGTTTCTTATTGTTCGAACATTTGTATTGTTTTCTTCTTTACTACTTTGCTTTTCTGCTGTTCACTCTGTTCGTTCACTTTTAAAACGTTCTACCCACATTCGATGTGTTTGGCTTGGAACGTTTCTCTCCTACAACGGTGGAGTTTACCCATAAATAATAATCGTAAGTTTATTATAAAATATTTTATCTAATTCCATTATAAAAATTAAATTTTACATATCTTTTTGACGTTATGTAACGTCACTTTTTTATAACTAGTGATGTAATGAATTCTATTACGTAACTACAAATTGA